ACAGCTGGAGGGAATTCTGGCACCGTATTTCGTCTTGGTTTCTACATTTGACTTCAGAACATCTTATTACAGTGTTTTGTAATATGAAACTTTATTCAGCTGTATCTATGACTAGTTTGTTCTGGCTCAATCTTTTTCCTATTAATCATGTTAGGCTTACTCGAGGCTTGTAGAGGGTTTTCTCTGATCCCACCGCACAGAGCTGTGTGGGATTTTTTTCTTTAAACCGTTAGGCTCGCCCCATACGCAGGGTCGGGACTGTAATTGCACACCCAATCAAGTCCGGTGTTATCCCTGCAGCATTTTTCAAATTTGGCAACTTTCTAAGCACTTGCTTTTCATACTTTGATTAGATTACAGAAGCCTTACAAATACTTATCAAAGATCAGCACCATCCGTATGTTTGCGTTCAGAATAAACCATTGTAGTAAAACCATTCCAAGCTGAGTACTGTGTCTTGACACTTTTCTGCTGAAGATCCATACAGTTGCAAACTTGTGTGCTGAATTCTCTCCTACCTAGGTGGGAAATGATTTTTCATTAACTACTGATCCCTATAACAAATTTTTCATCTTAAAATCCGCTGACAAGCAGTCATTCTCAAGTTCCACTTTTTCCTCAGCTATTGTCATTAGCCACGATTTTTTTCTTTTGAGTTGTATTTTCTTTCAGCTGTAAATTTGCTTTTTTAAAACCTCTAATAATGAAGTGCATCTTTTCTACAACATGATGATGATGAACTAGTCATTATTTTAAGAAGCTTCTTATCATATATATATGCCTCACATTCCAAAGGACTCCAGAAGTCTTTGTCTGTTATTACATAGCATTTCAGTTATTCTTTAAATAATGTATTGGCATCTTACTGCAACAGGAAAACAAAAAGTGTCAGCTAGTCCCCCAGTGCTTTTAAAGCTGTTCAGCCAGCCTCCCTTGAGGTGTTGTAAAATCTACAATGCACAATATAGTTATGAATTTCACATCTTTTTAGCATTCATGGCTAGACCGTTAATGAGGGATTAAATAGGAGAATTTTATTTAACCCCATACATTGCTTAACGTGAATGGTTAAGCAAAGGGGGACACAGCCATTCTGTCCCCTTTGGCAGAGAGACATCCACAGGGCTCTGGATGCAACATCCCTTCCTCCAGATAGATGGGCAAGGTCCATCCACAGATACCTGTGGATGTAATGTGGATCTAGATCCCTGTTTACTTGAAAGGAGTAAAACTGGAGGGGGAAAAAGAGTGATGTTCACCTCTTCTACTTGAAATTTCTTCAGTGTAACTGTTTACATGAAAGCAAATAGGCTGTCTTGTATCGGTGGAGAGAAAGAAATATTTTGGGGCACAATTTATTTGACCAAAGACAGATATTTACTCTGGAATGAGATAACTATCCAGAGTACATAAAGAGAAGTGCTTATTTATTTTCATTGGCGTCAGATGTAGACACTTCTACTTGGTCAAAAGTATTCTGCCTTTTATACCCAGGCTACGCACTTAACAGACAATTTATCATTGCTGGGCTGGAATATCAGTTCTGTCATCCTTACTAGTCTCACTTACGCAGTGAGAGTATTTACATATTAAAGTATTACTCAGCATGAGCAATGGTGCCAGCACTGAGGTTATGTTGCAAGTAGAGAGAAGAGATGTTTCCATTAGCACTAAACCTTATCTCGGAAAAATCACGGGAGACTGGCACTTCCCAGAGATTCTGCTTTCTTTTGATTATCCTCCCTTCTTCTAATAACTGACTCCAAGCAGTTCAGTTTCTGTTATTTGGTGAAACAGGGTCTTTTTCAGAGATTTATTCATGAAGTCGCAAGAAAGTCTGTGCTTAGGTAACAGGTTTTCTGTGTAGATCACAAGCAAATCGATTTCTGGCAAGTTGAGGGAGTTAGGGATAATGTCATGGGATATGGGAGAGTGTAACTGAAGATACTGCAGTGGTGGAGAGGGTCATATGTGAGACACAGAAAAATGAAGAGAGGAGAGAACTAGGTAGGACCAGAATACTTCAAGAAACAGAAAGTGGATGTACAATCCAATAAGGAGAAACTCACTTAAAATTTCTAATGGCCCATCCACTTACTTGAGCTGGACACCCCGTTCTGATTTGCAGTAGTTTTGTGATGAGTAAACTTATTCAATACTTTCCTCTGACACTAGAAAAGAAGGAACTTGATTTCAGTTAGGTGATATTCAATTTGTATTTGGTTTGGCATGACCGTTTTACCCTTGGATGAAAAAAATTAGGATATTGTATCATATGATATGTCCTCTTCTGTGCTCCATTTGGGACCTCTACCACTGACAGTTCTGCACTACTACGGTAATCTGGTACCACTGGGATCTTTCCGACTAAAACCCTGGCATTTGACTGAGCCTAACTCAAATTCCCAGGCAGACAAACATAAGAAGCTGATCAGGACATGAAAAAGAAAGCACAGAAACCTAGCTTCTGGGCCTTGACCCATGGCCAGGAGTTATCTGGGGTCACATTTTGCTCTAATACCAGCATGAAGATAGAAAATCTAGAAAGTCAATAGAAGCAAATCACTTAAAGTGAATGTACACGTAGACCCTGAGCATTCACATACACTTGAATTCTAGGTTAAAAATATTTTTCTCCAAAATATGGAATGTCTATCAAGATAGGAATGTATCTGCATTGCTATATAAATCATTACTATACAGTTCCTTATGGGCATATGAATAATGATCAAATCTGTTATTGTCTGTGCACAAGCACAGGTCAGTAAAGGACTGACTTATATGAACTACATTCATTTTAATAGAATTCTTCAGCTCTAATCCCCTTAATAATAATGTATTACTGCACTGTTTAGCCCCCCAGCTCACTCTAGTTACTCAAATTATATTTTAACAGCATCTTATCTCATTTCCATATCTTAACACTCTACCACTGGCTCCTTGACTACTGAACTTCCTTACTATATATTAGCTATATCTAAACTGTCATTTTGTATGTCAAAACAATTGTGCATTCAGTATGGAGCCTCAGCAAAAGTAATAAGGTAGATGAGCTTTTCTCAAGTATCACCTATTTTGGAGTCCAGATTTACCTGTTTTCCACCTTCAAAACCCTGTATGCAGTGATGTTGAACTCAGTATTCAAAAAGAAATTTCTTGGCTTTTTGCTAGCATTTCTGCTCTTCACATGATACTCCTTAATTCATATATTGTGCAGCTAAAAGGAACCCTTGCAATCCCCTGTATAGCCTCAAGCATAAACCTACCCAGATTTAATTTCTATTTGAACTTGAGTCTTTTGAGAGAGAAGGAATCTTAACCCTCTGTAACAGAGAGTTCACCACAAACACTAAGGAGCTACTCCAGCTGTTTCTGTAGTCTTACTACTAAGGTACATGCCTATTTTTAAGTTAGAATTTGTCTAGTTCCTTCTCACAGCCATCAGATCTTATTATACCCTTGTCTGCTGGCTTGAAGAGTCCACTACCAAAATTATGTGCCCTTCAGAGGTACTGTAGGCTGATAAAGTCACTCCAGTAACTTAACTGTCCCGAACTCACAGGTCTTCCACAGTAAAGCATATTTTGACTTTAGCAGAATGCAATTACTCTTCTCAGACACTCCAAGCATGAATTTCATTGCAGAGTCATAAAGCATGGTTTGCTCATAGTGATAATATTTAATTTGTCATTCTTCTTCTGAAGCCCCATCCTTTTCTCAGGAGGGAAAGGAGGAGCCCTTTCCTTTGATAGTTCGCCTTCAGGCTCTAATTTATGCCACAGATCATTTGTGGCTGGCTGGTGCTTTGTATAGTTCCTACAGGCTCACTAGAGGCAAGGCTTGCCTCGACCTGCATCCCATTTCAGCTGCCTAAGCCAAGGGAGGTACCTACCCAAATTCTGGTGACAATACCATACAGGTTGTTGAAAAGGATGAGCTTGAGATGCTTCAAATGGTGCTTCATGGTAGACCTAAACAGAAAAATAACTGACCTCGGTGAAGGTACTGCTAATTAACACCACCGTGAAGGAAGAACTGCTAGTTCATTCTCTAAATGGGAACCTGGCTCTTGTAACAGATTAAAGACTGATAGCACTATTCTTTTAAGCAGGTAAAATTTCCGTTGAAAGTATAACCACTGAGGTGGCACCTCATGGCAGTAACATCCCTGAGAGTTTTGCTTGCATGAGGAATACCTGATTAGGTGCCAAATCAGTTCTGTTCCTTAGCCACCAGCAGTCATACAAAATAACAATGGGAATTCAACAGAGAGTAGCAAAAACAATTCATAATTTATACCGATATTATGGCCTGCACCCCACTCTAGCTGCATGTAACACTAAGGTAGAGGACTGGTATTTAAACGGCAAAGCCCCTTCCTGCCGTGCAATCTGTCCGTGCGCCAGACCCACGGAGTCACAGCCCACCGGGGCGGTCAGAGGACGGGAAAACTGCAGTGCAGCTCCCGCCCACGGAGCAATGGGAAGAGCTGCCAGGCAGTCACAGAGCAGCCAGCCACCCTAGCCCTGTGCCTGCCATGCGTGCATTCGGCAGTGCTCACAGCTCTTGGGAAAACCACCCACAGCCCCGTTGCCAAGAAGTGTCGGCAGTAAATAAATGTTAAAGTCATCATTTCCAGGATGGTTAATGAGCTACGGAACAAAGTTAGGCAGGAATTTACCCGTCCCTCACAGTGTTAAGGAGATAATGCAATAAATGTTTTGTACCTTTTTCCATCAGGAACACTTTGCAATCATCCCGTCCCTCACAGTGTTAAGGAGATAATGCAATAAATGTTTTGTACCTTTTTCCATCAGGAACACTTTGCAATCATACCGGAGTTTTTCTATAGTGGAAATTAGGACTTTGTTTAAACACAAGCTGTTTGTTGCTAAAGGTTTTTCTTTTTTTTAATTGAGTCTTAAATTTGTGGGATTAAAATCTGTAGGCAACACACTGAACAACCCTTCTTAGCTCTACTTCTTCTCTTGATTACTTAGATCCCTATGTGAAGATCCATCTGATGCAGAATGGTAAGAGGCTGAAGAAGAAAAAGACTACAATTAAAAAGAACACTCTGAATCCCTACTACAACGAGTCTTTCAGCTTTGAAGTACCATTCGAGCAAATTCAGGTAATGTCAAACAGTGTTTTGTCTTCCCTCTGCATTCCATTTCTCAGCCCTTATAAATATTTAACAGGAATCTTGTTAATTATCACGTGTGCATGCCTTCATTAGCACCTAGGTGCCAGCCTTGTGCTACATTAGATGAGTGTGACTGCTTCAAGAGGGAAATGATAAAATGCACAGTACTTATGAAGCTTTGATTCATCAGTGAGAAATGGATAACTGACATTTTCTGTTAACACAAATGGATTCTGAAAAAAAAAAAAAAATCCACAGGGAGATAGCGAAGGAATGTGCCAGCAAAAAAAGTATTGGGATAAAAGAAAAGGCACATACAGCAATTTTCCCCAAATTATTTGAAATAATAAATTGGCATCATCAGTCACATTTGTGTTCCCTGTGCATTTATTGGTCCTGTTTGTTGAAAGTACTGCAGCTTCCCTCTTAAGTAAAACACGTAATTCAGTCAGGTTTTTTTCAGTTATTCACCACACCATGAAAACTTTTTTGGTGATTCCTATGCTCCTTGGAAAAAGACATTTGAGAATCCCAGGGGTCAGTAGTGCAGTGCCTGTTTTCTTGGCACCTCAGGGGAGCTCCAGCAGTTGTCCAGGTGCTACTCCTGGAGAGTTCAGTGCCTAAAATTAGGGGCCCCAGAAGTCAGCACAGTGAGCTGGAAGTCACCTGCATTAGCACTGGAAAATACCAGGATGAGGCATCATGTCATTTTTTTCAGGGACTCAGTTACCTACCTCTGGGCTACTGGGAGGCAAATTGTCTTTGACTCATGAGAGTGAAATTTAACGTCTTCTGATGTCAACTAACCTTTTCTCACGAGAGAAGGTCTTTTTAACCATCTCAGGAAGCATGTGGGAAACCCACATCCAATTCACTCCCCTCCCTAAGTGAATTTGAACCTGTATCTTCAATGTCTTAAGCAAGTACTCTTGTCACCTATGCCTATGGCTTGTGTGGGGAGTGCAACATCGTTTCTGCATAAATAATAGGTATATGATTGGCCACAGAGCATAAGATCACCTATTAGTTGAGTGGTTTGCTTGGAAAGGGAGAGGCTTTGGTCTCTGGTCTCATCTAGGTAACATAAACCACATAAAGATGGGTTGGTACAGACCTCCTCCATTTCTGTTAAGCCTTTACCATTGGTGTTAAACCATTTTGTTCTTTTGCTCACTTGTTAGAGCATTCATCAGCAGGGCAAGATGTATTGGTTTAAATATCCTCAGAAGAGAAAAGAACTGCATGTTAGCTTCCCAGCCAACCTGGGGACTGTGGAGATGTTAAGCAAAACGATAGCTTTTCTGGGTGGAGCTGAGTGTGGAAAGTGTACTTTTAGGGGCCTCCCAGTTTGACCATATTTAAAACAGTCTGGGCGTACATCCTTTTGTGGCTTGTAAGAGAGGTTTAGGTAGGAGTCAGGTACCTTGCTGCTTTTAGGGTTTATATAGCTTGGGCCAAATTTGGAGCCAGAAGACTTTGCCAGGGAAAACGCCCAGGCAATAGGGACACACAGACACCTCTTGATTAGATGAGAGCGTGCTGTGGGGTTTGAGATTCTGTGTCTTGGATTTTGATAGCAACTGTACTGGAGAGAAGCCCAGGAGCCAAAGCCTACAATTTCAACTAAAGCTGTGTGCTTCGTCTTTATTGACTTGGTACCGACAGAGATAATAAAACTAGACAAGGTGCGGCACTGGGAATAGTGACTTGAATGCATGACTACCCCGTTTAGGAGTTTCTTCATGCCCTGCAGCATGTACATGTGTCTGAGGACTCTAGGAATCAAAAAGTGGGATATCCATTGGGACCTAATTCCCATTGATATTAATGAAAGCTGGTCTGTGCGCTTGTAAAAAAAAACCTCATAACAAGCATCAAAGACCCAGGGGCAAAAAAAGATCAGTCAAATTGAGCCTCTCTGGCAATTTAGGCAACAAATGTCTTGATTTCCAAATAGGGACAGGACTGGGGAACTGGAATGGGCACCTCCAAGTTACGACATCTGAGCTTTGGCATGGTTAGGTGCATTCTGGCCATTTTGCCTTCTAATCCTTAGTTGGTTTTATAAGGTGGATAATAGGCCGTTTCAAAAGTATTGTGGTTTAGCAGTTTAATATTTTGTGCTTTTTTTGATAAGTTTATTAGAATGACTTTATAGCTATTTACTCCAGTATATAGCCTCAATTTAAAATCTGTAATTATGGATTTGGTCATATGCCAACATAGTTTGCAGTTAGTTATGAAAGACTATATTTAGAGGTGATTTCATTATGGCTACTGAAGTGATTTCATCATTAGCAAAACACATTTTAGATGTTATTTAGACTTACTATGGTAAGAATCGCTGTGACTTTGGGGTAATTCATGTAAAAGTCATTAAGCAAACTTTCACAGTCAAAAAATAACGGTTATACAAGTTTCATGATGGTTAGAGCGTGAAGACAAGGGAGATCATGGAGGGTAAGCAGCTCAATAGCAGCACACCTGTGTAATTTAAAATGGGCCAAACATTAACATCTTCCACAATTTAATAGTGAATATGGATTCTAGCTCTTAGGGGAAGAAAGTGATGTCGTGAAAGGTAATGGGAGAACACCACTAGGAAGTCAAATCCTGTTGCTACAGGCAGATCAAGCATGTGTTTTGCTGTTTTCAAGCCGGATTGCTGCCTTAGGTAGCAATGTCTCCAGGCCCTTTCAGTCCAAAGAATGCCTAATGACAATGAGGAAACTTGCTAATCCGAGTGTTTATTAAGAGAGGTGGTGCTTTCTACTAGCAACTGTTGGGTTTTGCAGTGCAGCTGTTCCTTTAGTATATGGTACAAAGGCAAAGAGATACTCACGTTTCTCTGTAGGTTTAAGCCAGAGACCATGAGGTGAAAATCATCTCAGAGTTAATCATCTGAGCTAGCTGTTCTTACATCTTTATAGAGCAAGGAAAAGGGTCTTTTGTTTACAGTGCTCATTGTTGTCTTATGATTAACACGAAGAGAAAATCCAATAGTAACTAGGCCCCAAGCTTCTAGGTATAGCAGGCAACTTTTTTTTGGTACCGTAAAATAATAGTCTCATGCTTACTTTTTTATATCTGTGATTGTACCGTGCATCTAAAACATAAATGTTCATTTGGGGAAGTACCATCAACATTAAAAGTGAGTATATTGCAAACAGCAACACCGAAACATCATTTTGGCATCTAGAACTACTTGCTTCAGGATATTGCCTTTTATCATGAGAGCTCTGGGGAGAGAGTCTTGAGTTTGATGTACACTTTTGTCATCAGCAACTATATAAATACTTTAGTGCCTGTTGGAATCATCTCTTTCTCTGGCTCAGTGAATTGTACAATCTTGTAAGGGAATGGGGTCTATAAAATAGATCTCATGAGTCTGGTCTTGCAGATATGCTTAAAAGCGTCAGTTACTTTTAAAAGATAATCCTATTACAAGCACTGAAATTAATCATTCTAGTAACAAATCCAGATTGTGTGTATATTTAAAGCCTTAAACTTAAAACCCTGCTGCTTGAGAACAAAAGATTTTTCTGGAAGAAATGTGTTTCAGGGCATTTCTTCCTCCAATTCTGGAAACTCGCACCGGAATAAGGGGCTGTGTATATTTACCATGGGATAAAAAGGAATCGGGGAAAAGAACTGTATGCGCATCTTTAAAAATAAAGCTCCCTAAGGAGAAGCATTTACAGTTTAGTAAAATCAGCCCAAGGCTGTTAATGTTTGAGGTGCTGTTGGGGAAGAGCACCACTCCACTGAAGGAATAGCTGTTTGTGCTCTGTCGACAAATATTAATGACCTGATGGAGAGGAACGCGGGCATGTGCACGCAAATGCATACGCAAATGCCTGGCTTGAACATCACCTCCCAGTGTGCCGCAGTCTAAGCGAATGGAAACTTGTCTATGAGCTGTGACAGATGGGCTCACGCACATTTTGTGGGAATAATTTAACCCTGTTTGCCAGAGGTCACCATTCCTACAGCAGAAGTGGCACGCCAACACCAGCTCAGTCGCAGGCAGCACCAGTGTGTCAGAGCCCCGAGACAGTGGGTTTTATACTTCTTTCCAGCTCCCCTGAGTATGCAGCTGGTTTTCTTGACTCCTCTATGAATTTATATAATACACACGGTATATGCATACTTAGATGTGTGCACGCACACATACACACACACAGATGAGTCCACATGCGTATATGTATATAGCAACTGTAAGGGCTATCTTCTGAATTTATCTGAAAATAACTGATTAGCATGCTGGATGGATGGGTAAGAGTTGTTTAGAAGCAGAAAAGCAATTAACAGAATAGAGTACGACATTGCAAACATTAACGTGGGGTAGAGCCGTTTCTGAATTCTACCTCATTTTGACTTATTTACTTAAACAATAATAATGTGTTAAATTGCACTACTTTTGACTTAGCTTACCTTGAGATCTCACTTCTAGCCCTCAGACTTGTAGCGGTCTGATTCTTCAGTAACAACAAAAAAATAATCCATAGGTTGTTAATCTGTTAAAAGAAACAAAAAAAAAAAATCAACCTCGGTTCCCATATGAAGCTCTTTGATGAAAAGGGTCAAATTCAAATTAGCAGGGAGATTGTGAACTTAATTTTATTTGGAAGGGTCACAAGAAGCAAAGACAAAAGTTTGACTTTGCTTCTCACTGGGGGAACCTGCTCTGGCTGTCACACACCCCCTTCACATCCATGGAGTCTCCATTGTCATTGTCTACCTTATCCCTGCCCACCTTCCCCTTGCTATCATGTTCACTGATCTTTCTCTATCTCGTTGTAGAAAGTGCAAATTGTTGTGACTGTTTTGGACTATGACAAGATTGGCAAGAACGATGCCATCGGGAAAGTCTTTGTGGGCTACAACAGCACCGGAGCGGAGCTGCGGCATTGGTCAGACATGTTGGCCAACCCTCGGCGGCCCATTGCACAGTGGCACACCTTACAGCCCGAGGAGGAGGTAGACGCCATGCTGGCAGTCAAGAAGTAAATTAAATTAAATTAAATTATGAAGAAGAAAAGAAGAAGAAGCCTTTCTGCATTTGCCCACATAGTGCTCTTTAGCCAGTATTTGTAAATACCTCAGTAATATGGGTCCTTTCATTTCCAGCCATGTGTTCCTGACACAGATCAGTTGTACTTTTAAATTCCCATTTTAATTTGCACAAATTTAAATGTAGAGAGCCCTCGAAAGGCGCTTCATTTCACCACTGCCCCCCCAGATCTACTCTTCTTTTAAGCAATATGATGTGTAGATAGAGCATGACAGAAATTATTTATTGTATCACACAGTTGTATATATACACCAGTATGCTGACAATTTATTTCTAGTTTGTGTATTTGTATGTTGTAAGCGTTTCCTAATCTGTGTATATCTAGATGTTTTTAATAAGATGTTCTATTTTAAATTATGTAAATTGACTGAGATATAGGAGAGCTGATAATATATTATAGGGTAACTATTGTATCGTCTGCATTCCAGAAAAAAAATTCCAACTTGTAAGGCACTAGTAGTGTTACACTGACATCTTAAAGGACAACTTAAATCTGAGCTTTCAACTGGACCATCCTAATAACACGCTACGCGTCCACAGTTAATCTTGGAGGGGCAAATCCAATTGGGTAGACTTCTTTCACAGGCAACTTAGCATGATCTGAGCAGCTCCGTGGCTGACCTCAAGGAGACGTAGCCAGAAGCCAGGATATTATTTTTTTGTATATATTCCAAAACAAACACATAACAGACTGAAATGGCTTAAGATTGAAAGTTGAGGAAGCAGTTCCATAGGAGGCAACGATTTCATCTAACATACAAAGTAAGACCATTGCAGAGGTTGTGCAGGGAGGGAGGGGGGAGGGAGGGGGGGGAGATGCAGCAGTAGCGAACTGCTGCCATGAAAACAAGAGTAGCTCTCCGTTATCACCTTTATACAAAATTTGCATACTGTGAATTCCATCCACGATTTCACATTATAATGAGTTTGCACATTAGACTTTGTAACAAAATATTTTATTATACTCAGATTAGAAGGAATGCAGAATATTTTTTAGACACAGCCGTGTGAGTTTATTATACAAAATAGTTTCATGGTAAACAGACAGTATTGTAATCCCATCAGAAGATGACAAAATTTAGCCATAGTTCTAAATGCACTTCAAAGTAAGCCAAAAGAGAACAGCTAGTGACCTTTTATATACTATTTATACTTAAGTTTTAATTTGTCCTTTAAAAAAAAAAAGGTGAAAACAAAGAACAAGTTCTAGAAAACTGAAGCAACCTCTTCTGTATACTAGATGCTCGTTTCAGGAGGAGTTTTTAAATGTTTTCAATGTTATTATGTAGTAAATGGCACTATTATGAAGCTATTAGTCATTCCATAAGAGTCTTGAAAGACTGCTCTGTGTATCACTGTGACTGCCGTGTGTGCTTAGAAATGTAGTTTTCTCAGTGGATAGCAATCAATTTATTCCGTAGTGATATTGTAATAATACTGCCATTCCCTTCTACTGCACTGCCGAAGGACCGCATAGCACAAGCAGTTCTAGTTATTACGGACCAATTCAGAACTGGAGAGCTATGCAGGGGACAAGGATGCTATATGGAATGGGTTGACCACGCAGCATTTTGTCAAGCCCTGTGCAATACTCTACATTTCCAACCTCCCTCCCCCTCACCGCTTTACTGTAGATAGTCATCTTACGGCTAGCCAGCGTGTCATCTCAGCTTGTACCATCTCATCAAGTCATTTAGGGCATCATTTCCATCTCACGTACCGTCCTTTGAGGCCCCTTGCTTATCTTTCTTTCCAAGCTGTGAATATATTTATAATGCTTTGAAGAGTTCATTCTTTTCAGCAATGCAAACTACCCCAGAGATGTGGAAATGCTATACTTTTTTGGAGGGAGGCATGAGAAATTAACCGTTAATGTTCTTATCAATTGTATCCAAAAGAAATTACTGAAAACAAAGAACAAAGATGATTGTAATCAGAGAACTGTGTACTGAAAACTAAATTCCACAGCCTCCCTCAAGGCTCTGCTTCTGGGAGGGGTGTGACAGTCTGAGAGGTTGGTGAAGTGATGGTCAAGCACCAATGTTTTCAGTACATTTGGGGTAAAAGAAGCAGCAAAGTAGGAGGAGAATAAAAGTCTGGATGTCTCCCCACCTCCAAAAGTGAGAATAGCAAGACCCATTTTCCTCCTTTTTTACATGAAACACAGAAAAAACACAAGTGAGACATTTTCTGATAGAAACAGGCACATACATGCAAAGCATCAAGCTGGAATACTTTTAAGATCTTAACCTTAAGGACCAAACCCCACCAAAGAGAAGTAGACAGTCAGCTTTCCTGCGTAAGAGCTTCATGGTCTCCAGCTTTCAGTTGTTCCTTCAGGATAGCTGCAGGTTCAAACTGCCAGGACTGACTCATTGCGTTATGGTATTCTTAATGCTGTCTCTTCCTACACTGCCAGACTGACCGTCACCGTAGAACTGGTTTGTAAGGTACGATTATTCTCAGAGACTGAACCTGCCATGTGACCAAGATGACATTTTCATCCTCAAAGAAGCCACATGTACCTTTCTGACAAAGCTGTGTGAAGTATTAGAATCTGATGCTGTAGAAAGATCCTAGTTGCCTTTGTGTATATTTACTGCCTGCTTGAGTGTTTCTCTGTGTGGGTTTTCTCTGTATCTTGTAGAAATGTTTGGGGTGTTTTATCCTGCCATATCGCTCGTGGCCCGCGAGCTGACAACTTTAGCCGTATTTTACCTTCATTTTCGATGAGGTGGTTTATATTTTGTTTCACTTTGTGTAGTGACTTCCCACAGTAGAGTTTTCCAATTGTCGTTAAAATGACATACATATTACACAGATATTCAATAAAAATGTTTTATTTCCTGTTGATGTTCTAGTGTTTCCCTTTTGATCTAAAATTTTGAAAAGACATTCCACTCTAGGAATTTTTATCACAATCATAAACTTCAAAGTATCGCAAGCGTAGGAGCACAGCACTTTTTGAGGGGCTGTGAAAAGCTGCCTTCCCTAGTGTGATCCACTTGTTTACCTGTTACCTTGTTTTCCCAAGAGCCTGATTATTTGCCTACAAAAACATCATTCTCTATCAAAACATGGGCTAGTTTCTATACCACGACAAAACTCCAAGTAGTGACCCACACATCAGTACTCTTCAAGCAAACTATGTTAGAGCCATGGTTGAAGTTGTCATTTGGAGAGAGATGGTATATTTGAACTTACATTCAAGAGCTACTTCTAAGTTGGCCGTAAAACCAAGCCTCTTGTAGAGTAAAGACCATTCATTAAATAAGAGTTTAAGCTGTATGGGGGGGAGGGAGAAGGTGTGGGGGAAGTGAATCCACAAACAAAAAATGATTGAAAAATATTGTGCTGTGAAACAGTTTTAAGTTCCTGAGCCTATAAAGAGAAACAGCTCAACACCCACACACACACACACACAAAAAAAAAAAAAACCACCACCAAACTAAACCTGTAGCCATGTTTGGTTTATGTAACCGTTTTCCACAGCAATCCCTCCTACCCTTGCTTTTTCCCCAGTTTGGAAAGAAATATGCCTATTCCTTTCAGGAACCACGCTGTGGTAATTACTGATATGCACCAGTTTAACCACAGCCGTTGTTACACGAGGCCTTACTATGCGAGCGCATTGTCAATATTTTCAGGGTTGACTTTCCCTATTCCCACTGCTCAGAAAGTGCCCTCTTTTCTCCCAGCTGTCTTTTTCCCCCATCATCTAGTGTCAATGAGCACCAAATGGACCGATGCCACTCTCAGCAAGTGACAGCAGGCCAACATCTCCTGGTGGGCCTGGTGATTTGGAGAGCAGTTACTCTTCCAAAACTGTGGATGACTGAAGTCTCTTTCTGTAGCTTTACAGATCTGCTGTGAGGCAATGCCTGCTTGGTCTGCAGGAGCTGAGAAAACATTCCTGTGGTGCAATGGAGTTCCCCATAGATACAAGCAGGTACCACATCATAGAGGTATGAGATGCTGCTGCTCCCTTCTTCACCACCTCAGCTGATGCATGATCAGACCAAGCATGTACTTCCCTAAGAGAAGCACTTTGCTTAAGAGCAGACCCAAATCTATCAAAGTCAATAAATAAAAAAATACTTTGATCCAGGTTCTATATGCACCAGCCATTTTTGCAGATCTTGAGACTGCCAAAATGACGTCTTTGTCAATCAAATACAGTTCTTCCAACAGGGCTAATCAGTTAAAGCCAGTTGTTACAACTAATGTAAGGAAAAATGCTTCATATAATAGCTGTTATACTAAGTGGGAAAAGCAGCAAAAATTACCAATTTTATTCAGCTCATTTAACCCCTAATCAACCATCAAGAAAAACATTCTTCCCAACTGACAGACTGTTACCAAAGCAAAGGATCTACGTCTCTTGATCACTTTTCACATCACGAGTCAATGAAAGTTAATTGCCTGTTAGTTATGCAAAGCAAGAATTAGTACATTATATTTTCTGATTACTCTAACAGTCAATTCCCTTATTTATTTATGCATTAGCATTTTTACTCCAGGCTGCCAGTTCAGTTTCTTATACACATACTGACCTCCTTTTCAGAACATACATCTACCAATTTCATGTCCAGCCCCTATTTTCAGTGTCAGTTCAGACACTGTTGTTCATGCAGGCATTAAAGAAAGTATGGAAAAGGGGTTTTCTATACATACCGTAAGAACTTTTACCCAGTCTTAGTTACATTTACCCTATAGGCAGTAAATATTTTTATATTCAGTATGGAGAATACTTTTAATGTTGCACCAGAAAGTAGTTCCAACAGTATGTGACAAACTAGTACAGAGAAGACTTTAACTCCATGTGGTACTTTGTGACTGACACCTGCAGCAGTATTTTCAGACACAAACCATACGAAGAGATTTATTTCAAGATTGTGCTGTATTCAACATAAGAAAGATAGTTCTACAAACAAGGTAGTGATCTAGACAACCTTAATGGAGCTTATGAAGAGGCCAAATAGGTTGGGGAAGTGAAGACAGTCTTCCAGGCTTTTGGGGTGAAGGTGGAGGGTGCAGGTAGCATAGTCTTTTTGTTCTATGCACGCACTGTGCAATACCATATTGAGATTTTGAACAGCCATTTAGACCAAAATAAAAGAGTTTCATCTTCTGACAGAACCAGTCTCATCAGTTTGACAGCTCACATTTAATTTCAGTCAACCATTTCATATCTTTGTTCACTCTTATTACTTACAAGGAAAGCACTCAGTAGGCGATGCACTGATGTTATACACCAAATAGAGCCCACATCAGTTTTTCTCATAAACAAAAGACCAATGCACGAATGTGGCAAAATATTCTCTGCTCTGCTAATCAAGATTATCCCACAATCCTGCACAAACATCCCTAATCTTGCTTTCATTCTCCCAGAGCCCAGAGACAGTTCTCTCCTTGTATTTATTGTATTCACATATACATACCTTAGCCTAGCAGATTTCATGACTCTTTCCTAAGAAGCAGCAGCACACACTGGCACCAAGAGGTTGTTCCAAAACCCTGACATGGATCTGTCATTGAAGAGTTCCAGACTGGGCTTTGGCTATATTTGTCTTCTCCCTTGGACCATTCATCAAAAGGAGGAGGATCTCTGGTAGTAAATCCTGATTGAAAGCCTGACAGGTTGGAACCTGCAAGGCTGAAGTCAAGTATTTTGCTCTTAGTTGGAAACATTATCATCCACTTTTTCTGGTGAAAGACAGATTCTGAGGCTCAGTAGCTTGCATTCTGCAAGATGTTTTTTTTCTTCATGAAACTGGCAATATTATTAAACTAATCTTTTTCTGAGATCGTTTCTGTGACATTCACAGAGTCAAAATGGCTTTCATATATTTTCTTTCAAATACAAGGTTGCCTCTATTGCTTAACTCATTTAAGAATTTCTAAGCCAACTCATCGAAGTTAATAAGTGGCTAAATTGTTTAATTGGCTTTAACTTCTTGCTTCATCAAACTTCTCACAGTTTCATTCACTCCTCTCCCACCATACACCATGCTCTGACACTGATTGATACACAAAAGCCCTGATGGAAGGTTATCAAGGAAATTAAGTAATCAGAGTGACTGATAGAGTCCTTTTCATGGACTAAATGAAGATTAAATGCTCAAATTTCAACATAGTGTAAGATTAAGGGTGGGGTGCTAAGAGGTTCATTGT